AGGACAGGCTGGCGAATTTGATTACTCGGGAGCACAGGTATGCTGAGCTTGTGCGTTAGAGGGAAGATCTCCATATTCAATTTCTCTAGGCTCTGAAAGCACTGAGGGAGGAAGGCTTGAAGACTGTGCTCATCAATCCAAATGTCGCGACCGTACAGACTTCCAAAGGTTTCGCGGATTTTACATATTTCTTGCCCATTACGAAGGAATATGTGGTCGATGTAAGTTCAGGATATAGCGAAAGTGCCAGAATTCTCCAAAGATCCGCATTCAGGTGATCAAAAAGGAACGACCTACAGGCATTTTATGCACATTTGGAGGACAAACTGCCCTGAACTGCGCTATAGACCTCTACAAAGATGGAGTCTTTGAGCAGTACAATGTTCAGGTAAGTCCCAATAAGCTTACGTCTGTGACCTTAATTCGAGTAAGTTGTTTAGGTCCTCGGAACTCCCATCCAAACAATTATGAATACTGAAGATCGTGAAAAATTCAACGAAGAAGTCACCAGTATAGGAGAGGAGGTGGCACCAAGTAGAGCTGCTACTACCCTTGAAGGGGCGATTGAGGCTGCGGAAATGGTGAGGGAAATGTTAGAGGTACTTAGGTACTTTATTATATTTTTCCAGCTTGGTTACCCAGTGCTGGTTAGAGCAGCATTTGCTTTGGGTGGTCTTGGATCAGGCTTTGCTGACAACCGCGCGGAGCTGGTAGCAATTGCGCAACAAGCGCTGGCACATTCTGATCAAGTTTTGATTGATAAGAGTCTGAAGGGATGGAAAGAGGTAGGCAGAAAGTTCTTATGTTGCACTGATGGTACAGGGAACAGGGGAGCGTGGAATCTTATTTAAAAATAGAAATACGAATTCCGATTTTCATTTTTTTCAGCGGGATGCGTATTCTTTTATGTCATGTTTTCAGCAAGGTCAGTAATCCCAGATCTTAAACTCATGCGTCTTTGAAAATATATGCGTTATGCGTAAGAAATGCGTTCTTGAAAATATTTCATAAATTCGAAGATATTTTGTTAATCTCTTTTTAATTCGATTTTTTTCATTTTCAGAAACTCGAGGATATTTTCTAAATTGTTTTTTGACTATGAGATATCTTTTGAATTTTAGATCGAATATGAGGTGGTGCGCGACGCTTACGATAACTGTGTTACCGTATGTAATATGGAAAATGTGGATCCGCTAGGCATACATACCGGAGAATCTGTCGTGGTAAGACTCTAATGAACTGTAGTATATTCAGTAGTCTTTCTAGATTGCTTCTCATCTGGGTAGTGAATAGTCAACGTCATGACCCAAATGTTCCAGGTAGCCCCTTCACAAACCCTGTCTGACAAAGAGTACAACATGCTACGGACATGTGCCATCAAAGTGATTCGTCATCTTGGAATCATTGGAGAATGCAATATACAGTATGCACTAGATCCCTCATCACATACTGTAAGCCCAATGTTGTTTAATTTGATATGTCTGTGTAGTTTGAGCTTTAGTACTACATTATCGAAGTGAATGCGAGATTATCAAGATCATCAGCGTTGGCCTCAAAAGCCACTGGATATCCTCTAGCGTATGTGGCTGCGAAATTGGCGCTTGGTGCCAGATTACCGATGATAAAGAATAGTGTGACAGGTTGGTGCCTTAGCAGTTTTCTGCTGGGCGGGGTTTGCCACAATATATAAATTCAAACTACATTTATAACCATGTTTAGGTACAACCACAGCCTGCTTTGAACCTTCCCTGGATTACTGTGTAGTGAAAATTCCGCGCTGGGACTTGGGAAAGTTCGCCAGAGTGAGCCAACAGGTAAGGTTGCCTGAGACTATCTATACGATCTTCAAATCATAGAATCTGCAATTTTAGATTGGCAGCTCAATGAAATCGGTTGGAGAAGTGATGGGTATTGGGCGCTCATTTGAGGAAGCCTTTCAAAAAGCTCTCAGAATGGTTAGCGATCATGCCGATGGTTTTTCACCGTACACATTCCCAAGGCAACCCACGGATGAGGTATCGGTTTTTGACCTGTAGATATCACGAGCATTGAATTTTATCCAGGATCTTGAAAAACCTACGGATAAACGGATGTTTGCGTTGGCTAGAGGAATGTATCATGGTGACTTTGATGTGGAAAAGGCCTATAAACTCACACACATTGATCGCTGGTTCCTGTATAGAATGAACAATATAGTGGAGATCTATCACAAATTGGAGAAGGAAACGGTAAAATTGTCGTTTTTGCATTTTTGTTCTTGGAGCAAGAGTTTTATTGCAGCTTTGCACTCTATCAGCGCAGTTATTACTGGAGGCCAAGCAAGCTGGTTTCTCCGATAGGCAAATTGCAAAGAAGATTGGCAGGTACGAAAGACAACTACTTTTTAGTAGTACAAATATATGTTTTTTTTTCTGCTTTTAAATCGCGGTGACACAGTCGACACGGACACGATTCTTATAGATTAAGAATGATTTTTTAGCACCGAGTACATGGTGCGTGGGCGTCGCCTACGCCTCAAAGTGACTCCTTGCGTGAAACAGATTGATACTGTAGCCGGAGAGTGGCCAGCACAGACTAACTACCTCTATGTCACCTACAATGGTGTGGAGAATGATGTGGAGTTCAACATGGTGAGTTCTTTTTTAATTTGGTTTACCGCATTGGCTGTCTCAGAATTTCCATACGGGGAGGGGGCGGGGCGACAAAAATCTTTGCAGAATTTTTGGAGTGATGGCGTAAGCCCGCACTACGAAAATTTTTTGAGACGCGTCCCATAATTTTCGCGTGCCCATAATTCCGAAATCAAAAAA